GGGGTTGCTCCGGGACAAGGTCTGACCAGGTAATTCCACTGTCTTTGTGATCTTACTGGCTAAATATACGTCATGAAGCCTCCAAAGTACTGCGTGTGACCTCACAATCATTCCACGGAAGGCTGAAGCTTGCTTTATCGTATCTTTCCCGGTTCTTGAACAGGAAACGATCCAAAAACGGTTTGAACCATGGCTTCTCCAAGACATCATTGCCCAGCGCCAGACATGGACGCGGTGGAGCAGTCACTCGCAGGCGTCATAGTACGATGTTTCTTTTGTGGTTCGATATTGGCCCAATGACAACATAGGAACCAGGTAGACGATTGTTAGATCCAAACATTGTGTATGAGTATGCCAAGTAGGAACTGGTGTTTGAACGATATAAAGCATTATCCCGATGAGGAACTTTTTGCTAATTCTCTCAACCAGGGCTAGGTGTGAGAATAAATGCGGATTATTCTGTCTTGTTATGTCTAAGAGCCGATAAATGGTGACGACAAGGAAAGCATATTCTGGCCACTGAACAGGAACAATACACTGCTAGAGGGTTAGACGTCACCGAGCGCCAATGCAGAACGACGGGTTGACCAGTTGACGTGTTAATCCTTGAGGCGAGCAGCCAGGCATCTGGGTGTTTATTCCTGTGCCTTCCGCCTATGCCACAGTTCAGATGCATAGTGAACATTCTGATAGCTAGTCGCGGATATGTATACAGCTACGAACAGTTTGTACCAAGAATCAAGCAGTTTTGTTTTACATGGTAATTACTCGAAATTGGGGCTGTATCTTCGCACGGGGCCTTCGGATATTTGTGTTTCACGATTTATGGATATTCTACACCATGAATTGCTAGATCATTGCGCTTTTTATTCCGTGCTGTCGCCTTGTATCTCAAGCAACTTTGCTCCCACTGAGCTGAGACACACACCTGCCCTGGCTCTCACTCGGTCTTTCATCGCTATCTAGCTTTCTTAATGTCAGAACACCCTTTTTCCCAACGGCCAATAAAGACAATCGTCAAAAAGAAATATTGGTACGATTCGGCATAGAGGGTCACTGCGTGGCAGAACTTTTAAGGTAAATGAAAGTAGCGTCTTTTAGCAGTAGACTCCCAACTTATAGCGCTACATTTCTTTTAGAACCCGGCTCATGAAGTACCTAGCCGTGCACCCTTTTTTTGGAGTTTGGGCTGGGCGATGTCCAAAATCTGTGGTCGTTAGGGGCTTCCTACGCGAGCCTGAGGTTTTTCTGCGGAAAGAAGAGAAATGTTATTGGACAAGCAAGTATGGTAAGTAAGTGCATAAAGTGTTGACCTGCTTTAGTTTCCTGGCTCTATCGTGAGCTCTGTAAGTGATTGGCGCGTCACGGCACATGTCCGAATTCCTTAGCCTCGAAGCTTTTATCTAACTACCATGAGTAAAATTATAATACCAATCGAATCTAATCCTACTTAAAAGCCTCGCATGTTTCTCGTACGCAGTTCCTCGTGCGGCAGTCCCAGATACGTGCCCACCCTAAGGGCGTCCTATCTGCGGAGTGCTGCGTACGAAAAGTCTCGCACGAAATGCGCCCGTCCAAAAGTGCGGCGTGTTCAGTAATTTCTCGTACGCATTTTTTCGTGCGCAGTTCACAGCAATCATGTGCCCACGCTAGATCCATGCCGCCTAGCTAAAGTCTCGCACGCAGTTTCTCGTGCGCAGACTCACAGCAGCTACGTGCCCGTCTTTCAGCGTCCCATCCGGAAATGCTCGCACGTAGTTTCTCGTACGCAGTCATCGCCACTTCTTCTTCTTCTTCTTCTTC